CTGAGACCAATGGGGCTGTAGGTGACATTGGAAGAAGTCAGGACATCGGAGGCCGGCGGAAGCAAGCTGAGAGGACCGTGGAGATGGCTTGACAGCAGGGAGATGATTTGAATGGGGGGCTCCGTGGCCAAACTTGGGGTTGGGATCGAGCGAAGGGCGGCCTCGGGGTGAAAGAGAGACTTCCCCGGGCGGGGCGCGGGCAGCTTACTCGGGGCCGACGCTCCTCCACGCCTCAGGAAACTGAGTGTCCCAGGTAGGCTGACACTGAGACCACCCCGGGGGTCCCAGAGCCAGAGCAGAACTGTGAGGGGCGAAGGACTCCCGCGGCCCCGAACCGGGAGGCGGCCACAGGGGAGGAGGCCCGGCGCCTCAGCCGCCCCGAGCCAGGGGTCTGCCCGAGACACCCCTCCCCCGGCCCCGGACTCTGCCGCCGCCGCCGAGCAGTCACATCCCCGACTCTGCCGAGGGACCCGGCTTCTCCAGCCAGTGAGGCGTGTGCCGCGGAAGGGCCCCTTAGCCGCAGGACCCTGCAACCGGCTCCAGGTCCGGCGCCTCTCAGGGATGGACACCGACCCCCGAGGCCGCCATGATGGATTACGAGCAGCTCCACAACGAGGGCAGGCCCCGCCCCCGGGCCCGCCCCCAGCGGCGCCGGAACACCCTGCGCGCAGTCTGACGGGCGGCCGGCGCCCTCCCCTCCACGGCGCCGCTCCTTCGGGCTCCCGCCTCCCTGCCCGCGACAGGCCGGCTCCGCACGACCTTCTAAAGGTAGGTTTTCTGAGCTCAAGGTGAGCGATAAGGAAGCGCCCGCCTCCTCTGCATGACCACTGGTCTCCCGATAACTGGAGCCGGCCCCCCTCGCCGCCATCCAATTGGCTGTGGAGGGCTGAAGCGGCCAGCTAATCGTGGTCGGTGCTGCCGCGAGGCATGTTGGGACTTGTGGTCCTGGCGCCCATGGGCTGCTGGCCGAGGCCCTAGCCTCCCGCTCCTATAGCTGGAGAGCTGGTCCCGCCCCCTGGGAGCCGGTGGACTCTGGTCAGCCAACATCTTCACTGCTCGGATTGCGAGGCCGCGGGAGATTCTGAGCCAGGGGGAAACTACGGATTGGAGTTTTCCAGAACCGGAGTCGGATTACTTCTTTGAGCCTCGTTAGGGGAGAAACTTTGGCTTGCTCCTAGAAACCAAGATGACCAGTGCGTTACATCCTCATCACTTGGAAAAAGAATAAATATGGGAACCTTGAAGAAGTATTGAGAAAGCAGGCGTCATGATGCTTTGAGATAGGAAGAAGTTGAAGAAAGTGTTTCTTCAAGGTATACCAGGCGCGATCCTGCACTCGTATATGTTTGCACGAGTATGAATCCTTACCATGACATTTCACAGTGAGACATGCATTCAAATCCTAAGGCGATCGAGGCCAGCCTGGGCTACAAAGCGAGTTCCAGGACAGGCTCCAAAGCTATAGAGAAACCCTGTCTCGAAAAACCAAAACAAAACGAACAAACAAACAAACAAAAAATTCTAAGGAGAAAATTGTCCAGGTTATCAAATCTCAAAAGCCTGTGAAACTACTCTACACCCGTGAACATTCATCTTCAGGCCCCGCTAGTCTTCACTGTTCCTATTACCTGGACCTATTTCTTTTTGGTTTTTCAAGACATGGTTTTTCTATATTGCCCTGTCTGTCCTGGAACTCACTCCATAGACCAGGATGGCCCAGAACGATCCTCCCACCTCTGCGTACCGAGTGCTGGAATTAAAGGCGTGCGCCACCACCGCCCCAGCACCTGGACCCATTTCTAAAGGGACCCACTCATCACAGCAGTCTGCACTTTTACATAAAATGCTTTACCCGTCCTTTTACCCATCACGGCATGACATGCTGTTCCCACTACACAGATGGGAAAGCATTCATAGCTGGGATGGAAGTGTCACTTAAAGGTTGCTACCTCTTGCTCAGAAGCATGTCTTTTCTACCGCAGCGTTCACTACCAGTAACTGCTGAGCTAATGTCCAGTTTTCAGATGTCACTGTGGATGTTTGGGAATGCTGCAGAGATATTTGTCCAGCTAAGCATTTTAGAAATCGTCTGCCAGGTTAAGAAGTGGCACTTGTCTTTTTTTTTTTTTTTTTTTTGAATTTTGAAAATGGCATTTCAAGAGGCACACACCTTTAACCTCAGCATTCAGATCTCTGAGTTCAAGGCTGGCCTGACCTATATAAAGTTCCAGGCCAGCTTGAGCAACATAGTGAGACCCTGCATTTAAAGAAACAAAGGGAGGTGGGGAAGAAAATGAAACAGTCAATGAGAAGAAATCTTGTGCCCAGATTTACAAGTGGAATCTATAAATCCTAGTGAGTAAACTTTTGTCCCTCACAGAATAATCTTAGTGGGTTGGGGTTTTTTTGTTTTGTTTTTGTTTTTCGAGAGCGTTTCTCTGTGTAGTTTTGCACCTTTCCTTGAACTCATTCTGTAGACCAGGCTGGCCTTGAACTCACAGAAATCCACCTGGCTCTGCCTCTGAGTGTTGGGATTAAAGGCCACTGCCGCCACCGCCACCACCGCCCGGCTCTCACAGAATAATCTTACTGTCGCCTTGTTTTTATTGTGAGTTTGGCTGTTAAACTTCGTTCTGTCTGCACTGCCAGTCTTCAGATGCCTTGGTTCCCTCACTGACCCATTCTCGTCCTAATCACTGCTTTTTTTCTCTCTGAAGATTCTACTTTTTAATTCCTAGTCATGCTTTAACCATTTCCTTTTCCCACCCACATTCTTCATTCTCTGGTTGAACTGTAAACTGAACAACCAAATCATAACTTTTTAAGAGATTGATTTGTATTTGTGTGTTGTGTGTGCATGCATGAGTTTATGTGCACCACTATCGTGCCTACTGCCAACAGAGGCCAAAAAGCACCAGAGCCCCTGGAGCTGGATAGAGTGGCAGACATGGTTGTGAGCTGGAAACCAAACCCAGACCCTCTGCAAAAGTAGTGAGTGCTCTTGATGACTGAGCCACCTTGAATTGCAACTCTTCAATAAATATTTCTTGAACCAGCATTCGTTGGTTTTTGCTTTTGAGACAGGATTTTTAGCCCAGGCTGCCCTCAAACTTTCTATGTAGCTGAGAGTTTTTGTACTTCTGATCTCTGCAACCACCTCTCCAGTGTCAGGTTACAGGTATGCGCCACGAAAACTGGTTCAAGCAATGCTAGGGATGGAGCCCAGGGCTCAGGAATGCTAGGTGAGCATCCTACCAAAGCGTCTACATCCCCAGTCCTAGCAACTGACACATATGCTAAGCACCTATTCCTGGTGCTGACGGACAGCACTGAGGGAAGCTGCCATCTTACTCAAGGAATACAAAGAGGAACAGGCAGACAGGCAAGCAGGCAACAAAAGAGTGATCCAAACAAAACTTGGAGCTGGAGAGATGGCTCAGTGGTTAATGCACTGGCTGCTATTCCAGAGGACCAAGGTTCAATTCCCACCACCTACATGGCAACTCACAACCAGCTGTAACTCTAGTTCCAGGGCATCTGATGCCCTTTCTGGCCTTGGAAGATACCTGACACATCATGTGGCACACAGACATATACACAGGCAAAATACCCGTACACATTTATATATAAAATCAGTCTCAAAGCCACAAACTACGCTCCTGGATCCGTAGCCCTTCATGGTTGATTCAACCTGTGCTCATACATGGCTTTGGTGCCTTGCTAAAGCTGAGATCTGCTCTTCATTCAGTTCCCTAGATTGCTTTCCTCACCTAAAAGCGGAGAGAGGGCATTGCTACTTGTTGTTTCTGGTCATCTTGAGGTCCAACTTGACCTTGGTTTCGCAGCTCAGCTCTGCCTTACTGTCCTCACGGCAGGGTCAGCACCTGCAGTGACGCTGCAGCCTTCTTCCAGAGAAGCAGTTTCCTTTCAGATAAGCTCCAGCCATCTGAGGTTTTCTTCCCAGAGATGCACTACTTTCTGGATAATTTATTTGTTACTCTTAAAGACTTCTTTTTGACTGGACTCAGAAGCTCCCACTGAGACAGCCTACATCTGCTGACAGTTTGTTCCTGGTGTTTTCGCTGTTTTCTTATTCTCTTGGCCAGAAGTTTAACATGTTCTGTAGCCTCCTTGTTCTCCTGTTTCTTCAGAGCACTATACCAACACCTGTGCTGCAGAATAGTGGAGGAACGAGATGCTGAGTGGGTGCTTTGGTTCTGGGCTTTCCCTCATCAAGGGCTTTCTGACAACAGTGGACATCTTCTTTCCAGAGACTAAAAAGCTTTCAGATTCTGCTAGCTCTTTTGGGTTCCAAGAGCCAAGACACAGTCAGTCGGTCCATGAATATCCTTCTCTTTTTCTCTTACAGTAATCAAGTCGAAAACACTCAGGTTGCCATCCACATCCTCTTCAGTTCTCCCTGGTCTATAACAGGAATGCCCCTTACTCTACAGCAGGCACACTGTGCCATGGGTCAAGATGCCTTGCTTCATGGGAGAACCTTGTTTCTTGTTCCCACCACTGACTCTGACCATATAACCCTCCACTCTTCATGCAAAGCATCAGCAGCTCTTCTGTGGCCACGTACTTCTAGAAAGTATGAAGCCTGTATTTATCATCGACTCCAATGAGTTTCTCACAGCCAGTGGCAGGGAAGGAAATATTCAGCTTCATCTTGATACAGCCAACTGCCTAAGAAGCACCATGAAAAACAAGCAAGATGCACTACTTTTTAACACTAGAAGACTTTTTTTTTTTTTTTTTGGTTTTTTGAGACAGGGTTTCTCTGTGTAGCTTTGCGCCTTTCCTGGAACTCACTTGGTAGCCCAGGCTGGCCTCGAACTCACAAAGATCCACCTGCCTCTGCCTCCCGAGTGCTGGGATTAAAGGCGTGCGCCACCACCGCCCGGCCACTAGAAGACTTTTAAGGGTTCAAACTCAGGGTTCAAAGCCCAGCAAGTATCTGATAGGATGTTAAAACCAGTGTCTGATGCATCCTGTATGGCTCAAAGAACTTTTATTAAAAGTGGTTCAACTCAATCTAACTTGGTCCTTACTTTCATAAAGCAAAGCTCAGTAACAAAACTTCAGCTGCTTCATATACCTACTGTACAGTTACACTTACCACGGGCGCCCTCTGGTGGGCCACAGAAAGCACATCCCCAGCTGAAGATGCTTTTGGACCTCTCTACTGAACTGCCCAGAAAGTCACTGAAAAAGCATGCCCAGCAGCTTGGGAGAAACAGGTGAGGACAAATGATCTCGAGTGGGACTTAGGCTCCCATCCCCATCCCCTTAAGAGGTGAACAACCGCCAAGCAGTGGTGGTGCACACCTTTAATCCCAGCACCCTGGAGGCAGAGGCAGGCAGATTTCTGAGAGTTTACTGGTCTACAGAGCTAGTTCTAGAACAGCCAGGGCAATACAGAAAAACCCTGTCTCTAGATAAATAAATAAATGGAAAAGAAGAGGTGAACGACCTGGGAAATTTGAGATAGGTGAGCCCACCTGAAGTGGCAGTACAGATACAGGAAATTCAGTTATCTCTGGTAGCACAAGATAAAAATTAAAAGTTGTCATCTATGGCTGCCTCAGAAACGCAGTTGTCTACTGATGATACCATGTGACGGTTAATCTTGATTGTCCACTTGATAGGATTTAGAGTCACCTTGGAAAAAGACCTCTGGAAGTTCTACCAGCAAGCTTCTAGATTGGGTAGAGGTGGAAGAACCAACTGTGTGCAGCAGCGTTTCACTGCTGTTGAATTTGGGCTGGGTACAAAGGACAAAGTGGGCCAGCCGAGCACCGGCACTCATCTGTTCAACTCTGGACACCATGTGACCAGCCACCTCAAACTGCTGCCACCAGGATGGACCATACTCCGGGCAGATGGGCAGCACGAACTAGACTCAGTAGGTTATTTAAAATTTTTTAAAAAGGAGTCCAGCACATCTTTAATTCCAGCACTCAGCAGAGGCCGATGCATCTCTGTGAGTTTGAGACCAGCTTGGTCAACATAGTGAGTTCCAGGACAGCCAGGGCTACACAGAAAGAAATAGCCCGTCTCAAAAAAGGAAGAGGGAGGGAGGGAAGGAAAGACAGACAGACAGAGGGTCCAGGAGTTGGAGGATGGGAAAGTGGGGGGTGGATGTGATCAAAATACATCGTATTATACATTTATGAAATTCCCAAAGAATTTGTTGTTTTGGTTTTTTGAGATGGGATCTCTATGTAACCTTGGCTGTGTAGACCAGGCTGGCCTTGAACTCAGAGATCAACCTGCTTCTGCCTCAAGAGTGCTGGGATGAAAGGTGTTTGCCACCATACCCAGTATCCAAACAAGCCATCGCTCAGAGATGTCCTTGCCTAGTAATAAACACAAGACCCTAGGTTCCATCCTTAGCTCTGGCAAAAAAATACACAAATGTTTTGGGCCAGTTTTGACTCAGTGGGTAAGGGTGCTTGTTGCCAAGCCTGGTGACCTCAGTTTGATCCCTCGAACACACATGATAGGAGAGAATTGACTCCTACAAATGGTTCTGATTTCCACATGCATGCACTCACACTCACACACAAAAATATATACAAAGTAAGTGGGAAAAAATGTAAATCAGGTACAAAATTAGTTTTGTGTAGTGAGTTAGTCTCATTGTATAACCCAGGTTGGCCTTACCTCCTGCCTCTGCCTCCATGTGGAATCACCATGCTGGATCAGGGTACCCATTTTTCAACAGTCATAAGAAAAACAAAGCATAGGAACTGGCACTCTACACTGAGGACCTGTATCTTGTTTCTTCTAACTTTCCATCTTTCAGAAGTTAATACATCACCACATCAATTACATAAGGCAACAGCTTGGCTTCACAGCTCCATTTTGGTTTTGGTCAGAGCATCAAAAAGCACTGTGGGCCCAGAACACCCATTCTCTCAGTTATTGGCAATGGCTCAGCTTCAGGCAGGACAGGCACTACAGAGAACACTGCCACTATCTCAGGGAACATCTCAGGCCTTCTTAAGGCCTCCAGGCCAGTTCCTGCTGGTGGACATGTTGAAGGACCTGAGATGCTAGAGATACAGGAGCAGCTCACACAGAGGGGGAAGGAAGCCCAGGGAGAGGGTGGAGACCCCTTACCCTGTCACCAGGACACACAGATTCCAACAAAGGCTGGTTCATTTTATTCTTCTATCCATCCGACCGCTGGCCTAACCCTACCACCTCTTCTCCAACTACACACTTCTGCATTAAAGGAGATGGAATAGAAGTCAAAACAGACCATTCCGCTGGCACTGCATGGTTTTTCTTTTTCTTTGGTTTTCTTTTCTCTGGGTGGCTGTAGGGCTGGAAATTGAACCTGGGGCCTTTCACATGTTAGGAAAGTGCTCCACCCAAGCTCTATCCCCAGCCCAGCATGTTTTCTACTGGAACAGTTTCATGGGGTGTTATGTGGCATGACTGTAAAACATGGATTCTCCAAGTTACTCCAAGATACATCATCATGCTGGGACACAATGCTCTGAAAGGGACCCGAGTGTCCAAAGCCATCATTCACTTCCACCCTGGCTTTGTCTCAGAACAGGAAAGAACAGGCCTGGCTCTACTGCGCCGCTGCAGGTGAGGAATGTGTTTGTCAGATCCTCCCTGGGCCACGTGTGGTGAAGACTGACCACACAGCAGACTCTTCCTCCTCCTCCCAGAGAGGCTGCTCCAGAGTCACACGGTCCCATCCTTCAGCACCTGGCCTCACCCCTCCTGTTCCAAAAGTCTCTGTCGTGTTTCTAGCATGATCTCCTCCATTACTTCTGGCTTTAAGATATCTTTAATCTGAAGGAAAACAGAAAAAGGTATGTGTTCATTCAGAAATAACCATAAGTAGAACATTAAGTCAACTAAAATGAAGCAAGGAAGCCTGGCTAACACTGTCTGCAGGCTGCATTCCATCAGGCTGCAAGGACACTGTTCCAGCTCTAGACCCAGCTTAAAAAGCAAGCCAGCAAAGTGGGACAGCTGACAGAAACACAGTTCAGTCACTCATCAGAAGATGCCTGAGGGGCTGGAGAGGTAGCTCAGTGGTTAAGAACACTTGCTGTTCTTTCAGAAAACTCTGGTTCAGTTCCCAGCACCCACATGGCAGTTGACGGTAACTCCAGTTGCAGGGATCTGAATCTGACACTCTCTTCTGACCTCCGCAGGCACCAGGTGTGCACATGGTACACGAACTTACACCCATGCAGGCAAAACACCCATACACATAAAATTTATTTTTTTATTTAAGTCAAGAAAAAAAATATTTCTACTTATTTGAAAACACATCAGGAAGATGGGTGGATTTTGGAACAGGCAAGATCAAGTGTGGAATGCTATTGTCATAAAAACATCCTACCTACACCTCCCTCCTATACCAAATCTATAGCAATACTAGAAATATCTCAGGAAACATGGCAGGGACTCATTAAGGTTGTCTCCAGGCTAGTTCCTGCCATGGGGTATGGGAAGGAAAGCGTAATGCTGAAGGAACAAGGGAGCAGTGCGCACACACACACACACACACACACACGGGGAGTCTGGGTGGAGTACCTGATGTGCAAGGGAAGCCTCGTAGCAGTACAGGATGCTAGTGTCATACAGCATCATCCGCTGAGTTACCAGCAAAACTATGCAGTTCCGAAGCCGGGAGATCACCTCTCGATCACTAAGGGCTACCGGCTACAAGGGACACAAAGGGGAAGGGAAAAGAAACCCATACAGGATCCGAATAAGCAAACAGCCCCAGAAGCCCCAGAAGCGAGAAATCACACTAATTTCCAACACGAAACTCCATGCCACCCTGGTGTTGGGATAATCTTTTTGCACACTGGCTAGCAGGCAAGCCCCAGGAATCCTCCTGCCGTTACACACACACACACACACACACACACACACACACACACACACACACACACACACACAGCACTGGGGTTACACATGCACCAACACATCCGGCATTTGTACCTGGCTTCTGGGGTTTGAATTCAGGTCCTTATGAAGGACAAGGTAAGTACCACCTGAGCTATTCCCCACCCTCTGCTTCTTCAGTGGCTCTCTGGCTATCACCCTGTAACTCTGCCACCGTCACAAAGCTCAGGGCAGCCACTGAGTCATCTCTTCAGGGAAGACAGGTCAATCAGGTGCTCATGAACACTCTAGCTCAGACTCATTCAGAGCATAGTAGTTTCCTCAGTCCAGACGGTGAGTGACCACAAGCCACACTGAGGCACCACACAGCAGCTCACAGACAAAAACACTGCAGTGCCGCAGCACCTTTTGAGTACACTTGCAATGCTCTACACTGACAGAATCACCCAGCGCTGCAGTTCTCAGGGCACACACAGCCTACATGTTAAGTGCCACAAGACTATTGACATAAAGTCAAAACAGGACTCAGCAGATAAAAGCACTTGCTGAGTAGACTCCCAAAACCCACATAAAAGCTAGGCAGAGCACAAAAGTCTATAATCCTACCACACCCATCAGGAAATCTTCAGAAGCTCATAGGCCAGCTAGCAGAGACCTTCTCAAACAAGGTAGAGAAATGCATGGATCAACAGCTTGTCCTCTGACCTCTACATGTGTCATGGAACATGGTACCCCCCATCTCTCTGTCTCTGTCTCTGTCTCTGTCTCTCTCTCTCTCTCTCTCACACACACACACACACACACACACACACACACACACAC